TGCCACATTAGATGGTTGCTTCTCTGCCTTTGCCTTGCTTGACCTCCTGGCAGCTTACATAGAGCGACTGCTCTCTTCTTTTCAAAATTTTATTTATTCTAGTTGGATACTTGGTCAGAAAAAAGAAAACATTTATTTATTATTTAAAATTGACAGGTAATAATTGTATATATTTATGATGTACAATGTGATGTGTGATGTGTGTGTGTGTGTGTGTGTGTGTGTGTGTGTAGTGGAATGATTAAATCAAGTTAATTAATGTAAAAGCCACCACCATCTATCCAGTTAGTGATCTCTCCCATAGCTGTTTTATCGTCACAGTGATGTACATTACCTTTTCTCTTGTTCGTCCTTCCTTCCTTTTACCTTCCTCCTTTTTTTTTTTTTTTTTTTTTGAGACAGAGTCTTAGAGGGCTAAAGTGCCGTGGTGTCAGCCTAGCTAACAGCAACCTCAAACTACCGGGCTCATGCAATCCTCCTGCCTCAGCCTCCCCAGTAGCTGGGACTACAGGCATGCGCCACCATGCCCGGCTAATTTTTTCCTCTATATTTTTAATTGTCCAGCTAATTTCTTTCTATTTTTAGTAGAGACAGGGTGTGGGGGTGGGGGGGCGGTCTCGCTCTTCCTCAGGCTGGTCTCGAACTCCTGAGCTTAACCGATCCGCCCGCCTCGGCCTCCGAGAGTGCTAGGATTACAGGCATGAGCCACCGCGCCCGGCCTCTTTCTTTTCTTTCAACAGGGTCTCACTCTGTTGATGCGGCTAGAGTTGAGTGGCGTGATTTTACCTCACTACAGCCTGGAACTCCAGGCCTCAAGTGATCCTCCCACCTCAGTCTCTGGAGTAGCTAAAACTATAGGCAGGCACCACCAGGCTGGGCTGATTTTTTAAAAATTCTTTTTTGTAGAGGCGGGGATCTCTCGAGATGTTGCCCAGGCTGGTCTGCAACTCCAGTCCTCCAGTGAGGCCTCTACGTTTTCTATGTGTGTGGTTTTTCTCTTTCTTTTTGTGTAATCACATATTTATTTATTTAAAAAAATTTTAATTATTTTTATTAAAAATATTTTTGACATTTTCTGTGTCTAGATATGCAAATACTTACCATCATGTTACAGTTGTGTACAATAATTCAATACAGTGACAGACTGTACAGGTTTTTAGCCTAGGATCGAAGAGGTATGCCATCTATGTTTGTTTAAGTAACCTCCGTAAGGTTCATACAACTAACCACGCATTTCTCAGAACCTGTCACGGTGGTTAAGTGAAGCATGACTCTACTTAAGCCAAAGACCTAGAAGGAGGAACCCGTTCAGGTTCTCTCTCCACCTCCATCACCTCAGTAGGAGCCACCATCGTGCCTTGCCTAGAAGACTGCTCTAGCTCCCCCAGCGAACTCTGTGCTTCCCTTCTCCACATAACAGCCAGAGTGATCTTTTAAAACATCAGTCAGAGAATATAACTTTCCTAATGAAAATCCTCCACTGGCTTCCTTCCCATTACACTTAGACTAAAACCCAAAGTCCTTCTGGAGTTTTCAAGGCCCAGTGGGGTAGGCCATGCCTGCCTCTCCCGTGTGATCTCTGCCACTCTTCAAATTTTCCATCCCGGCTTCGCTGGCCCTTTTTCTCCAGCTGCCACCAGCAAAGCGCTTTCCTACCTCGCAGTCTTTGTACTTGCTCTTCCTTTTGCCTGGACTCAAGGCTGCTGACTGCCCTGGGTTCAAATATCAACTTAGAGAGGCAGGTTCTGACCACCCAGAGTTAAGTAGCGCTTCACTTTCAAGTCATTGCCGCGACCGTTTTTTTGGTGGGTTTTGATGTTTGTTTGTTTATTTCCTTCCCACAGTCTTATAACCATCTGAAACTATATTATATTCTGCTTTCTTACTTATTTCCTGTCTGTCCCCCGCTCTGATGTAACAGGAGAACCCAGACCCCATGCTCCTTCAGTGCCTAATAATACTCGGCACACAGGAGGCTCTCCAGAAATACTGGCTGGGTGAATACACACAGCAGCTGCGCTCACAGACGTATAGATGCCCAGATTGTTGATAGTCTCCTTCTATTGGGGGCCAATGTCACGGCTTAGAGCTGAGAAGAGAGCGTTCATTGCCAGTCACTGTCACAACCCAGAGAAAAGACGGACACCCAGACCCTGGCCCAGACGAAGCAGACAGGCGAAAAGACAGGGGACAGAGACACAGAGCCAGGGCGAGTTAGAGAAAGAGACCCAGAGAGACTAAGACCGAGATCCAGACTCGGCAAACCAGAGACCCGAGCCCACAGAAGCCCTGGCAGCGGCCGGAGACAGTGCCAAGAGGAGGGGCGTGGAGGGAGGCCGAATGCGCCGGAAGAGAGCAGAAAGGCAGCGCTGCGAGTCCAGGAGACCCCGGCGGCCACCGCCCGGCTCACAAGTGGCCGCAGCGGGTGGCGGTGCGCCCGCCCGCCCGCCTGCCGGCCAGACGCGTGCGGGATCAAAGCGGCCGGGAAGGGGCGGGGCGGGGAAACTGGAGGTGTGAGCGAGCTTCCCAGCGGATGGCAAGGAGCGTGGGAGCGCAGAGAGTCCGGGGAGGCGACAGAGACCCGGAGAGACGACGAGAGATCCCAGAGAACTGGAGAGACCCAGATGCGGAGACGCAGATGCTGGGAGACCGGAGAGACCCGGGCTCAGAGATGCGGAGGGACGAGACAACTGAAGACTCAGAGAGACCCAGAGCTAAGTCGCTAAGAGCCCTGGAAAGAACGTGAGAGATTCGAAGAGACGCCAAGAGGCCCTCAGAAACCCGGAAAGACGGCGAGACAAAGAAGGCCCATACCCACGAACTTAGGAAAAGGAAGAGTGATTCAGAGAGAACGGAAATAAGAGACAGAAGAAGAGAAATGGAAAGAGCAAGGGGTTTAGAGTGTGTGGGGCGGGGAGGCCTGGCCCCTCCCCCGCGGGGGCCCGAGAGGACCCCCGGGGCAGGGATCCAAGCACCGTGTCCTTTCTCAGGGTCACGCCTGTGGAGGTGCGGGCTGAGGGGGAGGGAGGAATGTGGCGACAAGAGGACCCCCCAGGCCGGGAGGAGGGGAACGTGAGGACATGAGGAATCAGGGTCTAGCTCTGGGGCTTCAAACCCCGACACTGTCAAAAGGCTAAATTTAATATCTAGTAGAAATGTTTAAACCAAGGTGCTTAGAAAGCTCGTCAAATTTATCATGCCCTTTTGGGAGGGAGGAAAAGGACGACGTGCATTGGCCGGGAATCGAACCCGGGCCTCCCGCGTGGCAGGCGAGAATTCTACCACTGAACCACCAATGCAACTGGTTAGTTTCCTGCGGCTTTAACTTAGCTTCTAAGAGGTTGAGGCAGACGTGGTCAAGCAGACGGTGTAGGCCAGCAGCTCAGAGGAGTGGCTCCGAATGATCAACGTGGGTGGAGCGCCTGGCCATCCTTCCTCCCGCCGGGATCCGGCCACCGGGCCATAAAGCCGCCCCATATGGCCAGGGGCGGCCCCACACCCGGGTGCGAACAGCCCGGGGCCCCAAGCCTCGCGTGCAGGTGAGAAAAACTCAGCCCGAGCCCAGGTTCCCAAGGAGGGGGGTAGCGGGGGCTGCTAGTGCCACACATCTGTGCTCCCATTTGGCCGAGGTAGGGGGAGGTGGGATGTGTTGGGGGCCCTGATCCCAAATAGGAGCCCCTTTCTCCAGGTCTGTGCCCCTCCGGGCTGGAGCTTTGGCAAGGCAGGCTCGGTGAAGAAAACAAAACAAAACAACACAACCAACAAGGTGTGAAGGGGCGCTCAGAGGGCTTGGAGGAAGCCCCAAGTCTCTGACTTCACAGCTGTCTCCGGTCTCGGTCTGCAGCCCTGTCCTTCCATGTCCTTGTCCCTGACAGTCTTGCTATCCCGTTCAATTTCTGATTTATTTTCTCAGGCACTTTGTCCTGAAGCCTCCGAGTGTGCACGCGTCATTCTGCAGAGGGTCATGTTCTTGGTTTGAGGTGGGTGTTGGTCCTTTTTTGTATCCCTTTCTTGTCCCTTTAGGAAAACTGCCTGTTCTCTGCCCCCTTACAGTCACGAAGGGCCTCCAGAGGCACCCGGCGGGCACACGTGTGTGAGGTGTCCTGTCTGCCATACTCCTGAATCTCCTAGGATCACTTTTGATTAAAATAGTTGTGCCGTAAGTGAAAAGATCTCTTTGCTCCCTCCTATGCTTCAAGGACTTGCTTCCTCTTCCTTGAAATCCCCTCTGTTCCCCACCTCAGTCCAGCCATCCTCAAGGAGACTCTTTTCCCGGAGCACCTACTTCGCTCCGCTTCTGTAATAGCTACTTGATGACACATCGTCTTTTCCACTAGATGATCCTGCGGAACGAGCGGGGCCTCTACTGCACGTCTCAGTATGAACCTCGGAGCCTAGACCAGTGCTCTGCACGCGCAGTGAGTCTGCAGGTGTCGAGTGACTTGAATAGAACTGACATGGAACACAGTGCCACTTCTACCTCCTGGCAGAGCCCCACTTAAGTCAGGCAGATCCACCCAGCACATTATCCCGAGTAGGAGGCAAATTTGGGGGAAGAAGTATAAAATTCAGCCTGGGGGCTCAGGGGTGCTAACTTTTATTTCAGAGATAGTGAGGGTACAGTGAGCCTCCAAGAAAGCTTCAGTTCTGGGGGAACTCAGAACTTCATCCTTAAATGAGTTCTGTCCCAAATAACCTAATCTCCCTTTGCCCCTAATAACCTCCTCCCTCCAGCTGGGTTCCGCCTCCTTATACAGCCTTATGATCTGTAAACCAGTCTGTGCCCATTCGCCCCTCACTTCCCACACTCCCAGGCCAGTTCCTCTCCTTCCCCTCCCCCTTCACTCCTCCCCTTTCCGGGAGCCTCGTGCCGGGGTCCTAGCCAGGAGGAATCTGGGTGCTGAAGGGGGCGGGTCCGGGTCCTATCCCTCCTACCTGTCACCGAGGGATATAAGGCTCCAGGCGAGCAGGGATCCGGTCCACACCAGGGTCCGGAGGAGCAATGGTCACCCGGGATCGAACTGAGAATAGGGACGGCCCCAAGGTGAGAGGCGCGACGGGAGGGGGAGCAGAGGTCCCTGGTCTGGCCAGAGGATGGGGCCCTGATACAGTCGGTCAAGGGAGAGCCTGGGAATTGAGGGCTGGAAAAGGAGAGGTGCCGGGGGACCCAAGGAGCCAGGAGCTGGGGAGGAAGCTGCGAAGTATGAAGAAGGGGACAAGGGTCAGAGCAATACCTTCGTGGGCAGCGGAAGTACAGGTCTAGGGGCCTGCGTAATGGGGCTGGCACCTGGCGGCCTAGAGGGCGTGGGAGGGGGCCGGAGTTTGAGTGAAATAAGCAATAAGGGAGTGGAGCCAGGGGAGGGGGGTGGGAACAACAAGAGAAGACAGGCGCTCGCTCCTCGCCGGCTGTGAGCCGGACCTGGTCCAATGTCGTCTTGTACAGAAGGCCCCCGGGCATTGGTTCCAGAGGCCCGAGGGCGGCTGTAAGATTTTAGGAACCAGTCGGGGAGCGTGACGGCCTAGAAGGGTTTGAGCGAGAAGAGGAGGCGCGGTCGCGCTAGGTGTCTCCCTTTCTACACTCAGGGCCGCCAGCTCTGAGCCCGGCACCGTGCGGCCCACGTGCTTGCGAGCAAAGAGGGTCCCCAAAGTTCTCCACTGAGACAGAGAGAGAGACTGCACGAGACGGAGACGTAGAGAGAAAAGAGGAGGAGAAGGAGAGACACAGAGAGGGGAGGAGGGAGGACGAGACTCAGGAAAATGCAGAAGACCCGGGAGAGAGAGGAGGCGAGCTACAGAAACTGACCCTAGGGGCGTGGGGCGGGGAAGCGGAGAGGGATCTACCGGGCCCGGCCCTAGGCAATCTGGGGGCTGGGGGAAGGGGTGGAAGCCCGGCTGTCCCAGCGGCGGGATCGGGACGCCGGCGCGGCCGCGCTGAGTCTCGGTCCCGTCGGCCCGCTCTCCCTTTCCCGCTGGGCACAGATGCTGAAGCCGCTGGTGGAGAAGCGGCGCCGGGACCGCATCAACCGCAGCCTGGAAGAGCTGAGGCTGCTGCTGCTGGAGCGGACCCGGGACCAGGTCAGTCCCTCTGCCAGCCCCGGACCCCCAAGCATCCCATTCCCGCGTCCCAGGGCTTCCCACTGGGGTGGGGACATAGGCTGGATTGGCGACCCTGGCCCCAAGGCATCCTGACCCGAGTCCCGCCCTTGGAATCCCATCCCAGACCCCCTCTGGCTCTCAGAACGCGATCTTCTTCGCCGCCCCTCGGGTCTGTAAGTTTCACGCCTGGCTCTGTAAATTTCACTCCCTGGGTGGGTCAGTTTCACCCTTTGGGCCTTTAAATGTACCCTTCCCTTCCCCCACACCCCTCAGGGCGGCCAGCATCAGTTCTGCTGGGTGGTTAATTTCACTCCCTGGGTTGCTTTTTCAAATCTCGTCCTCACACGTCGGGTGTTGGTTCCATCCCCCCGGGTTGGACAGTTTCGTCTCAGGGTGGGCCAGGACCATCCTTGGTCATCCACTCCGCATTCGGTCCCGCGTTCTGTAAGCAGCGCATAAATGCGATCCCGGGAACCCCCAGCTCCTGCATCCGCCCCTCCCTTCTTCCCCCTGCCACTTTCCCCCTCTCTCCCCACCCCTTTCTGTCTCTGCGCCCTCCCCTCCCGTCTGTAGAACCTCCGGAACCCGAAGCTGGAGAAAGCAGAGATACTGGAATTCGCCGTGGGCTACTTGAGGGAGCGAAGCCGGGTGGAGGCCCCGGGTACAGCGCGGGGGTGGGGCAGCGGAGGGCGGGAGGGGGAGTCACGGCGGCTCGGGCCGGGGAAGACCGGGCGGGCCCAGAGGTGGACGGTGGGCTTGGGGAGTGACAGATTCAGCTCGGAGGCGAGGTTAATAACACCCGCGCGTGTCTGTCTCTGTGTCTCCCTCACTCTCTCTCCGTCCATCTGGTTTCCTGTCTCTGTCTGTGCGCCTGTCCGGCCTGGGTATCTCTGCGCCCCGCCCCGCCCCTCACCCCTTCTGGGCCCCTGCCCTGCCACCGCGGCTCCAGGGGTTCCCCGGTCCCCAGCCCAGGACGCCGAGGCGCTCGCCAGCTGCTACTTGTCCGGCTTCCGCGAGTGCCTGCTCCGCTTGGCGGCCTTTGTGCACGACGCCAGCCCGGCCGCCCGCGCCCAGCTCTTCTCCGCGCTGCACGGCTACCTGCGCCCCAAACCGCCCCGGCAGGAGCCGGGAGATCCGAGGCCTCCAGTGCCGCGCCCTCCGCTGGACCCCGCCGCACCCGCCCTTGGCCCCGCGCTGCACCAGCGCCCCCCAGTGCACCAGGGCCCCCCTAGCCCGCGCTGCGCATGGTCCCCATCCCTCTGCTCCCCTCGCGCCGGGGATTCCGGCGCGCCGGCGCCCCTCACCGGACTGCTGCCGCCACCACCGCCGCCTCACAGACAAGACGGGGCGCCCAAGGCCCCGCCGCCCCCGCCGCCCGCTTTCTGGAGACCTTGGCCCTGAGCTTTGGGGGGGTGGAGGCGGGGGCTGGGGGTGGGGTAGAGACTCCAGCCCGTGGGCAGCAGAGGGACCCGGGCGTCCGGGCGAGGAGGTGTTGGGGAGGGCGGCGGGGCGCGCCGGCTCAGCGCGCGGGTGAGATGTGGTCTATATTAGAGTATCTATATAAATATATATTTCCCTGGTTCCTGTCCCTTTTCCCTGACCCCCTCCCCTTCGCGTCTAGGATTGTACCCTCTTTGCTCTCGGCCCAATCCCAGTCCCTTTACAAGTCCCTAGTGCATGGAATAAAGTGGTTATTAAATCCCCGTGTGTCCCCGAGCCAGGGGCCTGCCTTTATCTCGACGTCCACGCCCACTTTCCCTTCCCTTCTGTCTCCCACCCCCAGTCCTGCTCTCCATGGCCCAAGCTCCGGGGCAGACAGGTAAGTAAAGAAGAGAGCAGAGCGGAGACTGAGGTTGGAACTGAAACCAGGAGGAAAACACAGATAGGGTAGGGGAAGAAGGTATGGGAACTTTGGAGAAAAAAACCGGATAAAAAGGAAAGAAAAAATTCAAATAAAATCGACTCTGGTGGGATTCGAACCCACAACCTTTGAATCGCTCATTTCAGTCACTAGAAGTCCAATGCGCTATCCATTGCGCCACAGAGCCACCTCGCGGGTAGTGGCGTTCTGTGGCTTACCGATATTAGCATGGGAAAGGGGCAGGGTGAAGGGGTGTGCGTGAGGGAATCGGGCGGGATGTGTCAGGGGTGTGGGTTTTGATCTCAGAAGCCAGCCAGGTGGAGGGAGCGGGCGCAAAGCTTGTGAGTCAGGTGGGAATGAGGGCGCGCAAGAAACAGGGAGGAAAAGCAACCGAATATGAGCGAGTGAGCGAGTGCAGAGCTCCGACTGCCCGCTTGGGGTGCTTCCAGCTCAGGCGCACCCCACTCCCAGATATGGCCCCACCCAAATAAACATTTTTTGTTGTAAATTTCTGTGTGTCTCTGTTTCTTATGGTTTATCTTTTCTAGCATCTGCTGCTCTGCGGTCTACAGTCTCGATGGTGTCCCATTCCTGGTATAAAAAATGTAGAAAAGGACAACAATTTAACTCTATCATCTTTGCCCATTTCTTCTAGTCTCTTAGGAGGATAATCGGAAGAACTCACTTCCGTGCGGGTAGCGTGGCCGAGCGGTCTAAGGCGCTGGATTTAGGCTCCAGTCTCTTCGGAGGCGTGGGTTCGAATCCCACCGCTGCCAGGCTGTTTTTCTCTTCGTCTAAACGCTATGTAAGCTAAGCACTGTATAAGGGGTCATGTGGTATATTCCTTTGATTTTAGGAAGCCCCTACAAGTGGTTTCACCACTGTCTTCCAGACAGATCTTACATTCCAAATTAAGACTTGATGGAAACTGCTGAAGAAATCTTCATTTCTTCATAATCTGATCTCTATTTTAACGTTTTCTAATACAATATTTTCATCTCAAAATCAGCCCAACCTCTAGTATACTTACGTGACTTACTGTATGTTCTTCTGGCGGTGTGCTAGATACATCTTACTCCGAGAGGAAAGCTCAGTTAGCGTCCTCTTTCGCTTTTGTTTTTCACATGCTCTCTTATCATGAAAGAAACATGTCATTCATGAAACCAACAATAGGACATTCTAGTGGTAGGTTAAAAAAGCTCAAGGTTCCACCGAGATTTGAACTCGGATCGCTGGATTCAGAGTCCAGAGTGCTAACCATTACACCATGGAACCCCCCGTTAAGGGTTTCTTCACAGATTTTATAAGTTACTATACTTTCTATTCTGCACGTTTCCCCCATCCACTCGTTATTTACTGAAAACAAGAAGAAACAGAAAATTCTCTGTTGACTATGGCGGACACCGCTAACCTGCGCCTGAAATATAAATTGAGATGTACTGTCAACTTCTATACATAGCGGATTTAGAAGACTTTGCATAAAAAAAGACAAAATTTTATTAATGATTTTAAATATTGCTTACATATTAAAATAAGACTTTGGAATATTGGGTCGTAAGTAAAGTATAGTACTAAATTTTATTTCACCTTTTTTTTTACTTTTTAATGTAGCTACTAGAATATTTAAATTGGAATATATGGCTTACATATGCACTGCTCTAAAACATCTTTACTTTCCCTCTGTCATTCGCTCTACCTTTCGGAAAGTAATTTCTCACCCCACTTAATACCATTTCTATTTCCTTTTAAAACAGGTAAATGTGTTTTTGTCACTGTTTTCTATTGTTTTATTCGAAGGGGCACAACACATTAATTGTGCTCAAAAGCAAAACCTTGACGCCCGAACAGGGACTTGAACCCTGGACCCTCAGATTAAAAGTCTGATGCTCTACCGACTGAGCTATCCGGGCTCTTGTAAACTTATTACTGTCCAATGTATAAGAGATTTCCATAAACGGAAGTCCCGGCGGACAAAACCGAGAGAGAATTGTGTCTGCGCAGAGGATTCTGGCACAGAGAGCGAGCGAGTGAAGGCCGCCTGCTGCTGATTGCTCTTTTTTATTTTGCCTCTCTTCCTCAGTGGCCCCGCCGAGGCTGGGACGCTGGGCTAGCTCGTCGCGGAGGCTGGAACTGTGCGGGGCCGGGAGTGGCCGCGCGGAGCCGCTGCGGGCTACAGGCTTGCCTCGCACAGAGCTTCCTCCCCAGGCCCTGTGACCTAGATCCCGGACACCTCGGGCACCTGGCGCCCGCCTATCGCCCGCAGGCCCAGGGAGGGCCTGGAGTGGAAAGAATGCCACAGGGGGCTTTCAGACGCTGTGCGCCCGGACTCCACTTCGGTTTCCTGGCCGGCCCTATTCCAAGGGAGAGACTGAGGTCGGGCGTGCCCAAGGCCGGGGACAGAGAGGGCCGGGCCTGGGGGAGATGGGCGTATGGGTGACAGGACAGGTGTTCCTGACCACCTGCCGGGTGCTGGAATGCGTGTTCGAGATTTGTAGTCAAGTGCGGCTCACCTATGCATAGTGATTCACACGGATGATTCACGTGTAGGAATGCAGGTGCCTCGCGCTCAGTTCTGGCTGGGAGAAAGGAGAAAAGGGTCTTGGGGGGAAGTTGGGGAGTGGGCGGACAAGGGTCCCAGAGCATCAGTCAGGCCCCTGACCAGGTGAAGATCAGTGTCCCAATTATACAGGGACACTGTATAATTATCCTCCCTGTCTCCATCTCAGCATCTAGTCCCTCCCTCCCCAGCGGGACCCAGGCTCCCGATATCCAACTGGGTGAGTCAGCCAGAGGGACCGGCTGTGCTAGAGGCAGGCAAACAAGTATTGGAGTGCAAACTGTGGGCGGGGAGAGGGAGCTCGAGCCTCCAGCGAAGAGCTTCGGAGACAGCCCAGAAGCACCCTGGAGAGAGCTGGGCCCTTTCTCAGGCCCACGCTGCCCCCAACCCCCTAGGCCGCCCCCGTCCAAGTCCAGCCCTGCCGGACCTGCCGCTCCCCTCCTCCCGGCCGGCTGCTGCTGTGGCCAGTTTTGCCGGGGGCATCCTCCTTCCCTTTCATCATGGCAGTGTACCGCCTGTGTGTGACCACTGGTCCCTACCTGATGGCCGGCACACTGGACAACATCTCCGTCACGCTGGTGGGCACGTGTGGTGAGAGCCCCAAGCAGCGGCTGGATCGAATTGGCAGGGACTTCACCGCTGGATCGGTGAGTAAAAAGGAGAGAGGGAAGCGCGACCCTGAGAGGCAGGGTCTGCCTGCAGGGGACCCTGAAGGAGAGGAGGAGCACTCCTTCTGGACTCATCAAATCAGGATGCTGGCTCTGACCTCGTCACGGTCCCTTTTGTGGTCCCTGAAACTCATCCTCAGAGAGCACTGAGCAGGGAGTTGGGCGATGTCCTCTGGCTTTCCAGCTCTTCCTATAGTTGATGGTGGCCATTGGAGCCTGGGTATCCTTTTCTCTGGAGGGGACATGCCTGCCTTCATCAGCTCCCAGGACTGTTTGCTGGTGGGCTACACAAGGGTTCCCCAATGCCCAAGGAGGCTAGTGAAACCCACTAGCGCCCACTCTGCTCGTATACCATGCGCGGTGCCTGCTTCTGCCTGGATGAAGGGCTTGCCTTTTTCTAATTCATACAAAGGCACCCCGTGGTTAGCAGCAGGCATAGGTGTAGACACACACTGCAAGGTGCAAGGACGGTCTTGGTGGTTCCCTACCTCTCACCTGCTTGCTGCCTCGGCCCCCTCAGGTACAGAAGTACAAGGTGCGCTGCTCAGCAGAGTTGGGCGAGCTCTTGTTGCTGCGTGTACACAAGGAGCGCTACGCTTTCTTCCGCAAGGACTCCTGGTACTGCAGCCGCATCTGTGTCACTGCCCCGGATGGTACCGTTTCCCACTTCCCCTGCTATCAGTGGATTGAAGGCCACTGCACAATGGAGCTGAGGCCCGGAACAGGTGGGCCACAGGCGAGGGCTCAACTGTCCTGCAGAAGGCATCTTTTGGGATTAGGGGTGGGATTTCACAGAGCCCAGGGTGCAGGAAATAGGATTGGGGTTGGGAACTCTGGGCTCTCAAGTAGATGCTTTCTGAAAAAAGTTAGCCTCTCAAGCCTTGAAAATGCAAGGGCCTTCTAGGCAGTATTTACTCCTCTGGAGACACACAGACACGCGCACTCACGTAGATATGCACTGTCTCTCTCACACACACAAGCAGATGGCTTTCCACAGTCTCCCTCTGCACTGCCCCAGAGTGAATTCCTCTGGAGCCCAAAGAGTCATTAACCTCTCAGCTGAGTAATTAAACTCCAACAGGTGAAGAAGCCCTGAATGTTTAGAGAATGTGGCCAGAGAGGCCCTGTCCTCTACTGCTAGTTTTTCCAGTGTGGGTGAAGTCCCTGTGAGGCACTGTTAGGGTCCCTTGTGGAATCTGTGGGACCTTTCAAAGACTCTGAGCTTGACTGCTTGCAGCCACCAGCACTGTCTGACCCAGAGAAGCAATCCTAGGGCCGTTCTGAGTGTTGAGATGAGTCTCAGGGATGAGAGATGGATATTCTAGGTCAAGGTGAGGCCAGTGAACATTACTCCACAGCCCGCAGTGAGCTCTTCACAGACGTCACCGTGAACTCCCATCCATTACTATGGCACATCCATCCATAGCGTCACAAAATATACTTGCTTATCAGTCATTTGTCAAGTGCTCCTGATGTGGATGATGCCAGGCTCCATGCTAGACGTGGGAATACAAAAAATGAACATGGCATGACTTCTGCCCTTGAGGAGCATATAGTCTGGAGAGGAGACAAACATGCAAACAATTAGGAAGATTGTTATCAGGTTGTCTCAAAACCCTTCTCCTGGTGAAAGAAAAGAACACGGGGCTGCCCTCATGTGATTCACATGGATGTGGCTGTGGGATTGGGCTCAGGGATTGGGGGCTTCAGACAAGGTTTGCAAAAGGTGTTGTTTGAAAAGAAGCTTATGCCAAGAGTAATTTTCATTCCCCACAGCAAGAACCATTTGTCAGGATTCCCTCCCCCTCCTCCTGGATCACAGGAATCGGGAGCTCCGGGCCCGACAAGAATGCTACCGGTGAGGGTGGCCTGATCTGGCTTCTTCCCCCACCTTTATTCTGACCTCAGCCTCCATCGGATTGTTCCTAACTCTAACCTAGTTCCAACCTTGGGATCCCAACTCCAATCAGGACTCTCATTTAAACCTAATCTCACTTTAACAATGACCCTGAGTCTGAACCCAGAATACCAGTATTAACAATCGCCCCAATATCATCAGTGAATTCATACTCACCCCCCAACATTCCCTGGTGAAATCCAGATCCCGTTACCAGCAATGACCCTGGTACTCAGCAATTTCAGTCCATTCTCACTCTCCCAAACCTGCCACGATCTTAATCTCTACACAAACCCATCTCTAAACCAGTATGGACACTAATGTCATCCTCAAATGCTACCCTGATCTGTAGCCCAGTGCCTTCATGGAGAAAATTCCAGTGCTTTGT